CGCATGTAATTGTTTGCAACTCTTCCAGAAATCAAAACGTGACATGTGGAGTAGAATTGCATGTCTTGAAATGGCCCTTCAAGTCTACTTAATGCAGCATTGATAGAAACATAAAAATCAGGAAAATGCACTGCCTTTGAGAGAGAAACCCTCTATTTACTATATGAATAGCATTTGAAAGGTTCCTGGTCTTTAAAATATAAAACATACTTAATGGGCTTTTGAGCCAGAGGAGGACACATGATGGCTGATGTGAAAATCCGCAAGTGAGGCAGAAGTCACCAGTGCACTGCAGATTACCATATTGTGTAAGGAGTTGGTATAACGTCTCCTTAATCAATAATTCTCCACATTCTTGAAATGGTGAATCAACGGACACAGAACAGGCTTTAGCAAATTGTTCAGAAGATGGCTGTCTAGGACTGGTTTCTCCCAATATAAGGTGACTGAGGTGGTTAGACTGTCATTGAGTGCTGGCATGTCAAGCAGATATTTCAGGCCTGCTGAGTGGGGCCAGGGTCAGCCCTGAAACACAGGTGGCTTTGTTGAAGTTCAAGGAAACCATGAACCAGGGCTGGGCTGGAGGTGGAGGTAAAAGGGGCGAGGGCAGGGCTACATGGAGGGCCCTGAAAGCCCAGCTCAGAACCAGGCCTGTGGCCACTTCTCACTTCACTGTCCCCTCCTGGCTCAGGAACTGCATTGGGAAACAATTTGCCATGAACGAGCTGAAGGTGGCCGTGGCCCTGACCCTACTCCGCTTTGAGCTGCTGCCGGATCCCTCCAGGGTCCCCAACCCAATAGCACGTATCGTGTTGAAGTCCAGCAATGGTATCCACCTGCGTCTTAGGAAGCTCCGCTCACCCTGAAAGGGACAACAGCAGGCTCTGAGGACTTCCATTGGCCATGCCGTCTTCCTGTCCCCTGCTCTGGCCCCACCCGTGTCACTGCCCGTCTAACTCCCTCCTGATCAATGTCCACCCTGTCTGCCTGTCTGTTCCATCCCCTTGCCTTCCTGCCTGCTTCTTGGTTCCTGTCTGAGCTCCCCATCGCTGCTGCAATAAACTGCCACATCCTTAGTAAACTAAAACAACACATATTTGCAATCTTATTGTTCTGGAGGTCAGAAGTGTAAAATGGGTTTCACTGGCCAAAGCCAAGTTGCCAACTTGCCAAGTCCCATCTGCAGGTTCTAGAGGAGCCCCATGCCCTGGCTGCTCAGCTCTAGAGATACAGTTCTGAATTCCTTGGTACTGACTCCTTCCTTTCTCAAGAGCCAGCAGCCTCTTTGAATCCCTCTTTTTCACTGTTCTATGTACTTCCCTCTATTAGGACTCTTGTCATTATGTGGAACCCCTTTGGATGATTTCTCCATGCTAATATTCTTTACTTACCAACATCTTCAAAGTCCACTTTGACATATGAGGCCATATATTCATGAGCTCCAGGGAATAGGAAGACTGTGATGTGGAAGCCATTGTTCAAGACACTGCAGTCCCTACATGTAACCTGGTCTGCCCATCAACATCTCTCTGGGCAGTACCCACTCGCCTGACTATTCCCATACCCTCTCTGTCTTCCCTCCTCCCTGGAATACCGTTCACAAGGTTGAATGTAGTGTCCAGCTTCCCTTGCAGGGAGGTGGGGAGAATAGAGGAGACACTGAGTGAAGGACAGAGGAGACAAGTCCCTCTAAAGAAGGAGAATAGAAGAACCCAGGCTGCCTGACCGGTCCTGCCCCTTCACACAGCCTCATGCCATGTGAGCCCTGACACCCTACACCTAGCGCAGCTCCCAAAGCTCCCTGGCAAAGGAGTGTGAACAAACACTCCTTTTTTGGAAGCTTGGAGAGTGAAGCTTGCACTTGTTGAGAAAGAGGACTACTCCATTCTGTTCTGGGCTACCTTTTCTTTTCTTTCTTTTCTTTCCATCAAGGATTTTTGTTATTTTGTCTGTTTGTTTGTTTGTTTTGTATGTGTGTGTTATGCACTTAAAAACAATCCCAGGATTTTCTCTCCTGTATATTTCTGTCTTGCTTCTTCATGGTCCATGATGCCAGCCGAGGATGTCAGTGCAATGAGACCAAACTGATGGGATGGCAGCAGGTGATTCTGCCATTTTTCTACATCTTTGGGCTGCACATCAAATCTGGGACTGATCACTCCACAAGGGTTAAACATGCCAGTGAGATTCAGTTTTTCTCTGTGGTCATGGATGATTTCAAATTCACCAATGTAACCATTATTCATCATCACAGTTAGAACCCAGACAATGACTTTGGAGCATGGCCCAATGAGAACCTGGCATTTGCCCCTCTTTTCAACAGTGTCAATGCTCGTGAGAGCATCAGCCAAGACATTCAAGTGCATCATTGTGGCTTCACGAAAAGATGGGAAGAGCTGGGCTAGCTTTTCTCACACACAAGGTTTCAGAATGGGATCAGGCCAGGATGGTCTCATGCTGAGAAGGAAATCCTTCTTGCCAGGCTAGCATGAGGGTCCCAGGGACATGGGAGAAGAGAGCCAACTCTGACCATGTGACCAGGAACCACTGGCTCCCTCACACTCAGGGCACCCAAGTTCCCCAGGAGGCTCCTGGAATGGACTGCTGTCCAACAAGGCTGGATGGGGCCCAAAAGGGCATCTGGCCCTTGGGGGTAGACCCCAAGCAGCCACTTCCCCCAGGACAGCCTCTTGCCACTGCCTTGCCTTCCTGGCTGGACACCATGAGGGAGAAGAGATGTTCTGTCCTCACTTGGTGCCTCACTCACCCAGGACAGCATTTTGCCTGTCTGCTACCTCCCAGGATGATCACAATAAGGGAAGAGAGGTGTGTGTCCTGAGCCTTGTCCTCACATGGTGCCTGCCTCGGTGCTAGTATCTTGGCTAGAGCTCCATTCCCAGCGCCTGGCCTCTGTGCCCTCTCACTGGGTTTCCTGGGCTGCCGTCCCTGCTCCCCTGATTGTCATCCAGACCCTGCTGTGTTTGCTGGATCTAAACACAGGAGGACCTACCACTCCCTACCTCCAGTCCCCATTGCTAACCCAGTACCCTGGATGCCATAGACAGACCTCATGGAGTTCTAATCTGCAGTATGACACCAGGTTCTCCTTGCCTGCAGGACTTCTCCCTCAATCATAGCCTGGAGCCAGGACCCCTCCCAATCTCCTATACTCCCAGATCACTGGACTACCTCAGCCCTGCTCTGACAGGGTCAGGAAAGGGACGGGATGGGTACTCGTTATTTGGCCAGTGGGGTAACAAAGATAGTATCCACTGAGGCAAAGTAGTGAGCTGGGATCATCCTGGACAGGACGTTCAGCAGATCCCTGGCATGGATTCGGGTATAAGCTATGCTCAGAGACCAAGAGACACTGGGAGTGCAGGGTTCTATTGGGCCAGCCATGGACAAGTTCTCTAAGCACAGGAGTTCACAAGAGGTGGGTAAGTGATCAAGAAATAACCTGCTGGCTGAAGGTAATGGGCAAAACCTAGATTGAGTTCACACACATATGCACATCCCCATGATTCACACAGAGACACTGACCTACTGCCACACTAGTGTGTGCCTCACATACCCACGTCACACACACACACACACACACACACACACACACCAGGATCTTAGGAGACAGCAAGATGCGTTCGAGAGTGGAAGGATTAGGTGGAGTCCATCTCTGGTGCCCACCAGTCATCCCAGCCCCGTTTCCCACCCTCAGAGACAGCACCAACTCTAGTGATGGTGTGTTGATCAGAGGACCTCCATGCAAGTTCCTCCCTGTGGAGTGTCTTAGGGGTTCTGTCCCTTAACTCGAGTGGGATAACAGCCTCCTTCCATTTAGCCTCATGGCCTCCTCCATATTCAAAGAGTTAAGGGAACTGGATGCATTTTGGACTCAGGTGCCACCCAGGAGTAAGTAATTATCACCTCTGGGCTCAGCTCCCAGGCAATGGCTCTTGAAATCTTATCTTCACTTATGTAAAGAACAGTCAGTCCGTGTTCTTTCCAGTTGCCAGGACAGAGAGAAGTTCGTGACATGAGCAAGGGGCAAGGGGCAGCCAGCCAGGAGACACACCTGGCATCCTGCCTGGAACCTCAGCTCCAAGGCTTTGCAGGAGTGAGCAAGTAGCCTGTGACAGACCTGCTAAGGCTGTGGCCTTCTTCCAAGAAGGGGAGCATCAATAATAAAAAGGATGTTTCTCCAGACAGGACATTCCCAGGGCACCAGACAGACAGTTTCATCCTAGGGCCAGACTTCTCTCTTGCCCCACCCCCTTCCGCATTCTCAGGTTTGTGCGTCTTCCTACACTGTCCAGTTCCTGGACTGGAGCCCACTAAAGGCCTTAGACCTTATATATAGAAGTATGTGTTGAGCCAACCACGAGGCAGCTGCTGCAGGGGGTGACAGGGAAGGACCTCTAATTCATCATTTGGCCTCCAGCCTTCAAGGCCCCTGCTTTGCACCTTCATACCTCACCCATGCTTCAAGGCTGGATTCCAGCTGATTCAAATGAGCTCCCTTTCTTCCAGGAAGCTCTCTCCTAATGTCGGTCTACTCCCTTTCCCAGCCTAAGTATGAGTACTCAGGGCACCGTGTGACTAGCAAGCACAAACTTTTTTTCTTTTTTTCTTTTTTTTGAAGAGGTTTTTGCTATAGGGCGTGTGCGCTCGCCAGACAGAGAGAGACAGAGAGACAGAAAACGAGAAATCACCCCCCAGGAGGGATGGCCACACTGCAATCCCTTCTCTTCCATTCTCCTCTTGGGATCTTGGGCACACATGCACACGTGCCCGGCATGAGTTTAAGCCACCAGGTCCAGGACGTGAACTGCGGTTGACTACATGGGAGTCCAGTGACATAGCCATTACGCTTACTGCTGGTCCCAAGCAAACACAAATGTTGATGATGGCAGACATGGCAGATGTCCACGTCAGGGGAGACAGAGACACACCAGTGAAACCAGTTTCCATAGTCCATGACTCTGGTGGTGATCACACGGGAGTTTGCTTTAGAATAATTATCTTGTGTAGTCTTTATTTAGGCAACTTTTCCTTATGTCAGTTATATTCCAAACACAGACACACAAAGTTAAAATAAGAACACATCTCCATAAAGAGGCAATCCCTAAGCCATCCCTCTGTATTGTGTGTGGTACTGGTCATAACCATGAATCTCAAGGCCAAGCTTCCACTGGGTTCACTATGAGACACTAACAGGGGAAGTAAGTTTCTGCTACATTTTAGAAAGACTGCCAAGTGTAGGAAGCAAATGAACTTTCTTTCTCAAAATAAGGAGGTGCTCACCAAAGAGTTGAGTGAATGAATGAGCTCAAGATACATGCCCGGTGAGCATTTACAGACTCACACGTTTACCTGGCACTGATCTCCAGGTGACTGTCTATGTCAGTGCCTGCTCCCATCCTACTCACCAGTCACCCAAAGACGGAGCCACAACCACTCCACATTCAGCCTGGGCAGGGTGGTGCCAAGGAAAGGGCACAGTGTGGGTCATCTGGGTCCTTCCTCTCAGCAGAACTACAACTGAGACCCAGAGTTCAGAGACTTCAGGTGGAGGTGGATACCATTCATAGAGCGCAGGACCAGCTGAGGAATCTTGATGGGCAGCCGTGAGTGGTCCACAGAGAACTCAAAGCGGAGCAAGCAGAGAGCCGTGACCACCTTCATCTCATTCATGGCAAACTGCTGCCCGATGCAGTTCCTGTGGTGAGCAGCATGACAAAGAGCTTGGGTGTGGGGTCCTGGGAAGTTACCCAGTGCTCTCAGCGGCCAGTAACTTTTTTTTTTTTTTAGATAAATAACTGGCTAATAGATTGATTGACCCGAGGTTAAGAAGCAGGTTTGAAGCATAGTGAGGATCGCAGACTGACTGGGTTCACACTGGGACTCCCGACATGGGGCTCTGTCTTGAAATTACCCACCACACTCACCTCCAGAGAGAGAACATGATAAGGGCAAGAAGGTCCCTAGAAGCAAGCCTCATCAGGTCAACTACAAACCCAGCATGATCCCCCTTGGACAGTCTCCCCCAAAAAGAGGCCTTCCCTTCCCGGTCCCAAGGGCCTGGAAATACTGGACCTCTCCCTACCTGGGCCCCGCAGAGAAGGGCATGAAGGCGAAGGGGTGGCGTCCAGCCACATTCTCAGGGGAAAAGCGCAGGGGGTCAAAGACCTGAGGGAATAGATCTTGGTTAAAAACATCATGTCCTGGCAAAGGGTGACTCACACAGTCTCCACCCTGCCCGACCTCTGTGCGCAGGAATTTGGTACCTCAGGGTCAGGCCACACCGCGCTGTTTCTGTGGAGAGCATAGATGTGCAGAGAGATCAGGCTGCCTGTGGGCAGAGCACAAGCCTGGTGACCAGGTGGTCCTGGGGCAGACAAGGGGTTCCCTTCCACAGGGCCAGAACCCCAACTCTACACAGGGCCAGAATCCTGAGGTTCTCCCCGGGGCCCAACCACTGGTGCTGATGGAAGCTCATGACCACACTAACTCAGCAGAGCCCTTCTGCTCACCATCACGCCCAGTTTCCAATCTCACATCCAGCACTGCACACAGCACCAGATGCAGACATTTGGGGAAAAAAGCTAAAGGAGGAATAAGCCCACCCTGCCAGGGGTTGGACAGGCAGGGACTCCTATACCCTGTCTACTTTCCATGAACTGACTCTCAGGAAGTTATTGTTCCCAACCTTAAACTATCAATAGTAAAACAATCATTCATCAGTGCTTACTATGCGCCAGGTGCAGGACTAAACACTCTCTATGAAGTCGCTGCACATAGTTGACAGGTTGGGCACTGCACAGTATCATAGTCTACATGAACGATGCCACCTGATGTTCTGGGCGTGATGCATGGTGGGACATGACAGCTTTAATGAACACTGTCTTCTTAACCCTGATATCAATGTTGAAAGAAAGGTCTTTGTCCCACCCATTTTACGGAGAAGGAATGAAGGCTTAGAAGCAGAGGAATTTATCCATGTGTTGTGGAGCTAGGATTTGGCCCTAGAACTCTGAACACAGAGCCTGAGTGCTTCCTCACTAGTGCAGGGATTTGAAGAAAGGGCACAGAGAGTGTATACAGGGGACACCTGAGCATCCAGAACCACCTCCCAATCCGTGCCATCTCACCTGCAGGGAGAGAGCGGCCGTCCACAAAGTTAACCGGCTTGCTGAGCTGGCGGTACACCTGGGGCACAGGCGGGAAGAGGCGGAAGCTCTCCTTGATGCACATCGTCAGGTAAGTCATCTTGCCCAGGTCATCCCTGCCAGCGACACAACCAGGACATTCTGGAGTGGCGGTGAGCTGATCCAGGAGTTCAGGTTCCAACTCTCCCCATTACCACCACACACTCGAGTGTCGGAGGGCACAGGGTTCCAAGTGCCCAGGCCAGACCACACACCGGGTGGCCACCCAGACCAAGGGATCTGGCTCCTCTTTCCTCCATTCCTTCCTCATCTTCACTGCTAAGAGGGGAAGGCACAGGACTCCAGAGATGTACATGCTCCCAGCCAGCAAAGACAAGGTTAGCTCTGTGTCTCTCAAGCCCCCCAGAAGCTCTAAAGGAACAGTTCTTTAGATTTTGCTTTTTTTCCCCTGTGGAGCTGGAATGGAAGGGAACAGAGCTGATACATGTTGGTTAACAAGTCCAAGCAATGTTGATGCCTTGTTCCATGCATGAACAATGAAAACTTCAAGTACCCACCACCTGGCTTCCTGTCTGTCTACCTGTCTTATCTATCTCTTTTCCCTTTGGCCACCAGGAAGCTCAATTTGAGGCCCAACCATAACTACTACACAGTTATATAACTATGTAACTACTTATTACAGAGCCTCTAACTCCTGATTTTTCTTTTGTGTTTTACTGTTATATTAAATAAGTATCCTCTAAGTTGTTTCAAGTTCTATGGAATGAAGTGAAAATAAAATAAGTATTTTAACCCCCTGTCTTAGGTTGTGTTCACATTGCTGCTCAGCCAGGAAGCCTAGCTCACATTCTCTCTCTCTCTCTCTCTGTCTCTCTCTCTCTGTCTCTCTCTCTCTGCCTGAGTTTTAAACCTCCTTAGAAGGTCAATTCAAGCCTCACCTGTTCCCTCTGTTCTCAATACCCAGGCCACTCCATCAAGTGGTTTTCTTTAGCTTTTGTGTTATGTGAGTTTATCTTTCTAAAAATTTCCTAAGGGCAGTACTTTAGTATGGGGCCATAAGTTACATAACTAGATTTACCTAAATAGAACCAACCTTTTGAACATGCAAACTCAGGAAGTAATTCACAAAAGAAAAAGGCCAGAGATATTTGCTACTTGGCCAAAGCCCGATAATAAAAAGATTTTTTGAAAGAGCTCTATGGAGACCAGCAGATGGCATAATGGTTATGTTACTGGACTCCCACAGTCAACTACAGTTCGAGTGGCAGACCCAGCAGCTTAAAACTCATGCCGGGCACATGTGCATGCATGCCTAAAATCCCAAGAAGAGAATAAAGGAGAAGGGATTGTGGCATGGCCATCCACCCAGGAGATGATTTCTCACTTTCTGTCTCTCTGTCTCTCTGTCTCTCTGGCAAGTGCAACTACCCTGTAGCAAAACAAAAACAAAAATCAAAACAAAATAAAACAAACAAAACAAAACAAAAAAACTCTCATAAAACAAGCTCTATGATCAGACCAGCCTGTGGTGTGATGGTTAAAAGGTTTGGATGTTATGTGGCCAACTACGCAGTTTAAGTCCTGGTCCCAATGCCTTGAGAAACACAGTGGGTACATGTGTACATATGCCCAAAATCCTGAAAGGAGGGAGAGATGGAGGAGAGGGATTGCAGTATGACCATGCCCTATTGGGTATGGAGAGGAGTACTTTCTAACTATCTCTCTCTCTCTCTCTCTTTCTCTACCTCTCTGATGAGCTCAAACACCCTCTAGCAAATTTTAAAAGAGAGAGAGTGAAGACCTAGGATAGCATAATGGTTACATCTCTGGACTCCTATGTACTCGACTGCAGTTAGAGTCCTGGACCCAGAGGTTTAAAACTCACACCAGGTGCGTGTGCGTGCGTGCCCAAAACCCAAAAGAAGAATGGAAGAGAAGGGACTGCGGTATGGCCATCAACCTTGGGGGGTGATTTCTCACTTTCTATAGCTTTATCTCTGCCTCTCTTGTGAGCACACATGCCCTATAGCAAAAATATCTCTAAATAAAAGAGACAGAGAGAGATTGCTCTATGATCAAAAGTCAACTTAATTAGAGACAAATATTTAGGCTACATATACATATATAATGTTGTGATCTCTTTGTTTTCTCTATTAGATTCAATTGTCTTTAGAAACTAGTGAGTTCTGTCGCCAGACAGAGACAGAGAGACAGAAAGTGAGAAATCACCCCCAGGGGGAATGGCCATGCCACAATCCCTTCTCCTCCATTCTCCTCTTGGGATCTTGGGCATGCACGCACATGCGCCCGGCATGAGTTTAAGCCACCGGGTCCAGGACTCGAACCGCGGTTCTAGTACATGGAAGTCCAGCGACATAGCCATTACGCCAACTGCTGGTCCCGGTACATGACTAAATCTTTTAAATTGCTTACTTCCTAGGTCTTTATTTCAAATTAGAGTTCCTGGGCGTCAAAAATATAGCTAACATATGTAACTACCAAAAGTAAAATAATTCTGTATTCAGACTATAAAATGATAATAAGGTATGGTTTTAGTGAAAATGCTTAAAAAGTATAAAGATATATTAATATTTTCTGGCTGAAGAAAAAGTAATTTTGTCTAATTTAATAGCTATTGGGGGGGACAGGCAGGTGGCATGGTGCTTAAGGGCACTGGACTCCCAAATGGCCAACGGTTCGAGTTCTCAATTTGGAGATTTGCTTTCTCAGGTTCTCTCTCTCTCTTTCTCCCTCTCTCTCTCTCTGTCTCTCTCTGGAAATATGTTTTCAAAATAATAATAATAAATAATGTTAAATAAAACCATTCTTTAAAAAAAAAAAAAAGCTATTTAGGGTTGGCTGGTAGCTCAGTGGTTAAACACTGTGCACAGGGACAAGATTCCACATGCTGATCACAGTTTAAGTCCTGACCCAGAAGCTTGGAAAATACTGAGTGAGCCAAGAAATCCTGATGGGGTGGTGAAATGGAGGAAAAAGGATTGTGATGTGGCCAGGCCCTACTGGGGGAAGGAAGGGCTTTCTCTATCTCTCACATTTGTGTGCCCTCTGGCCAAAAACAATTAAAAATTGTTTCAGCATAAACAAGGGAAGAAACAATTAGATAAATCTGAAGAAATTAAAGAGATGGTAGAGGGTTTATAAAAAACTCTTGGGGAACCAGCAGTTAGCATAATGGCTATGTCGCTGGACTCCCACGTAGTCGACCGCGGTTCGTGTCCCGGACCCAGTGGCTTAAAACTCACCCCGGGCGCATGTGCGTGCGTGCCCAAGAACCCGAGAGGAGAATGGAGGAGAAGGGACTGTGGCATGACCATCCCCCCTGGGGGGTGATTTCTCGCTTTCTGTCTCTATGTCTCTCTCTGTCTGGCGAGCGCATGCGCCCTATAGCGAAAAAAACCTGTCCAAAAAAAAAATCTTGTAAAGGGAAATTTATATGTCATCAAATTGACTAATTTATTATATGGGCATTAAAATAAGAGTCTTGAATATCAATACACTTAAACAAAATTAAATCTTGGTTTTCTCTCTCTCTCTTTTTTTTTTTCAGTTGTCAGAGAGAGTATGTGATCACTGGAGAGCGAGAGAGAGGGAGAGGGAGAAAGCACTCCCCAAAGGGGTACAGTCAGGCCACAGTCCCTTTGCCTCCATTTCTCCATCCTGATGGGATCTGGGGCACACACACATGCCTGACATATTTTTCAAGCTTCTAGGACCAGAATTTCAACTGCACTCAGCCATGTGGAATCCAGCTCCCTTACTGCTAGACAATAGGGTGGGCCTTAGTTTTCTCTTTAAATAAGGTTTTTCTTGGAGTGTCAATCTGCTCTTAATCACAAGAGTTTTTCTTAACTTTTTAGGTAATTGGCCTATGAACAAAGATCCTAACTTTTACAGAATCATTTCCTATGTTTCAAGTTTTCTTTTTAAGTCTTGAATTACTTAAACATACTAAATATTAAGAGTTGAGTTTTTCTAATGATCTGTATGTTTTCCCACTGAGTTGGAGCATTCCCATGCCAAAGAGCCATGGCCCAAACAGTAGGTGAAATATTAGGAAAACATAACTCCTTGGAAAATTCCTTTTGAACTTTACAGCAACTAAGGCACCCATTTCCTCATTTCAGGTCATTCCACCAGTCTGTAAACTGTGACCTTTTCTTCATATTTCCATTGTGTAAATCATCCTCGATCTTCTAGACTGCCAAAATGCAAGAGTGGGATTATCAAAACTCAATTGGCTAAACTAAAAGCATCATTCAATCTTTCCTGGCCAGAGGCTCTTCCATTGGCCTCACTTAATCTATGCTTGGTGCTCTTCAGGAAACAATAATCATTGTCATTTGAAATAATTACAAGAAGACCTTGATGTTTGGACAAGGCAGCCTACGACCCTGCTCTACTCAAAGAAAACAGCCTACATGATTGCCAAAGATGGACTAATCCCCTTTCCAGAAATACTAAATTATTGGTAGTAAGAAAATCCTTTTCCATTGTGTTTGTAGAAGATGAAGACATTGAGCAACACAATGGTCTGTGAGAGGTTTTCTGTTGTTTTTGTTTGTTTGGTTGTTTTTGCTAGAGTGCATGTGCTCACCAGAGAGGCAGCAAAAGAAGGAGAGGAAAAAACACCCTCGCATGGGAAATGGTCACACTACAATCCCTTCTCCTCCAACTCTACCTTCTTTTGGGATTTTTGGGCATGCACTTACATGTACTCAGAGTGTTTCTCAAGCTGCCAGGTCCAGAACTCAAACTGCAGAGCTGGCCATGTGGGATCTGGCTGCCTTAAACAGCAGGCCATAGAGTCAGCCTGGAGATTTTGTTTACTCGAAACATCACCAAGTAGAAGACTCTCTCTAACCTTGCTGGAAGAGACTATATCAGATGTCATTGACTGATCCTTGCAAAGTTAAACTTCAGAGCATTGACTCAGGATGGATGCACATCTCTCTCTCTCTTTCTTTCTTCTTTTTTATATTTTTTAGGCTTTTTCTTTTTTTTGGAGAGGTTTTGCTATAGGGCGCATGCACTCGCCAGAAAGACAGAGACAGAGAGACAGAAAGCGAGATATCACTCCCCAGGGGGGATGGTCACACTGCAATCCCTTCTCCTCCATTCTCCTCTCGGGATCTTGGGCATGCACACACACGCACCCAGCATGAGTTTAAGCCACTGGGTCCGGGACTCAAACTGCAGTCAAGTACATAGGAGTCCAGCGACACAGCCATTATGCTAACTGCTGGTCCCTTATTTTTTAGGTTTTGACAGGGGCAAGACTCAAACTACAGTTGGCCATGTGGGATCCTGCTTCCTCTGCACAATGCCACTGTATCATCAGGCCAGCCCCTCCATTCTTTGTTTAGATTTGTCCCCTATTATCTCTACTTTAGAAGTGCTCTATCTGGACCTTCCCCATTCTGTCCCATATCTAGTTGTTGCATGATTACTGGAAAACAACAGATCTGAATTATGTAAATGTTTTCCTTCTATCAAATACCACTCTTCTAGTTTCTGAAAGCCTTGTAAATGAAACCAATCCTGATTTGACAGAACACTTTCCATCCTACCTATAATTAAGCTATTAGCTCCCTCTGGATATATTTTTGTCTGTGGTATTGAAACTGACTTTGCATCTGAGGGCTGGGCACACTGATGTCTGGATAGTTGGTGGATGACAGGAACTGTCTACTTGGACAATAAATCATTCTTCTATCTTCTCATAGTGCAGATTTTACCAACTATCCTTTTAATCTGTTATTCAGACACTAAAGAGAAATGCTGACAGGGCATGAGGGCAACACAGGACAAACTACACTAGGCATTTTGATTCTGAGCATAGGAGTATCTAATAATAGAGACGTAGCTCAGAATTTTTCTGCTGCCATTTGACAATTTGCTGAAGATGTAGCAAAGAGCGTGGCAGCCCAACAAAAACCTTAGATTCCCTTGGCCATGTAGTTCTTGGTAATTCTATAGCTCTCTCTTACTTGCAAGCAAAACAAGAGGGTATGCGTAGTTGCTAATACCACTTATTGTACCTATACAAGTACCTCAGAATAAGTATAGAGTTGTCGGAAGAGTCATGATGTATTTTCTATGGAATACTATTCAGCCATAAAAAAAAAACAAAACTCTGGTTTTTGACAGAAAGTGGAAGAATATGGAAGATTTACTGCTGAGTGAGGCAAGCCAGGCTATGAAGGAGAGACACTGTATGTCCCCACTTAATATATACCAAGTGTCTGCACTCTATAACTGAAGCTGATGGGCTAAAGGATATACAAACACAAGAGATGGGTGTGAATGCCAGATGTGGTGTGTGTGGAGGAGTGGGGCCTGGGGAAAAACATTTGGAGGAGGAATACGGAGACAGCATTGTTGAGACAGGGAGGTAGTATTGTTATATTTTGATCAACTGGACTGGGGAGAAATGTTCACATATTGAAATGATCACCTTGTAAGCTAAATAATGTGATTGAATGTATTAAAAAATGTAAAAAAAATTAAATTAAAAAGAAAGAAAGAAAGAAAGAAAGAAAGAAAGAAAGAAAGAAAGAAAGAAAGAAAG